CTTGTCCGAACTCAAAAACCAGATGGGTAAGATGGGGCTGGTGTGACCTGGCAGCAGGACTGGCATCAGAGGGCTGTGGGGTGGCTTAGAGTGCCCCATGGAGGTGGGTGGATGGAAGGGCTTTGAGGCAGAGGGAAAGTGGTCTGTGTCAGCAGCCAGCAAGCCTTGTCATCTCCATGAGCCTCAGGGTCCCCATCAGCAAAGAGAGAGGAGTGCCCATTGCCAGCCACCCACAGTGCTCTCTATCTGACATGGCTGGGAAATTGGCTACCATTGGGTGTGAGGAATCATTAGCAGTGAGGCCAAGTTTCTGAAGCCTGAGAGGAGCTGTGCATCAAAAGGAGGGTTTTTTCGGGGGGGTGGGGTGGGGGATTGGAGGGAATCCACAGGCCCTTATTGTCTATTTCATTTCTCAGCTGAACCCCCATCCTCGGCACCCTCAGTAGGGACCTCTGAGGTGGAACAGCTACAAGATGAGGCCAAACACCTGAGGAAGGAGGTGGAAAGCCTGGAGGGAAAGCTCCAATCCCAGGTGAAAAGCAATCAGACCTTGAGTCTCCTGAGCAAGGAACAAAAGGAGAGACTCCAGGAGCAGGAGGAGAGGAGGCTGCAGGAGCAGGAGAGACTGTGAGCAAAAGGGGAGGCTTTGGGAGCAGCAGAAGAGGCTGGGGGAGCAGGGTAAGAGGCTGCAAAAGCAGGAGGAGAGGCTGCAAACGGAGGAGGAGAGACTGTGGGAGAAGGAGGAGAGGCTACGAAAACAGGAGGAGAGGCTGCGAATGCAGGAGGAGAGGCTCGCGCTCTCCCAGAACCACAAGTTCAACAAGCAACTGGCCAAGCCTTAGTGCAGCTTTGAGGATCTGGTGGGTTGCCCCACCTGGGCAGCCTGCCCTCATCCCTAGCCCTCCAGGCCTTTGTTTCCCCACCTGTAAAATGAGGCAGTGTAGCCCTCACATGACACGGTACTTCTAAAGACATGTGAGCCAGAGCTCATCAGGCCCTGCTCTGATGGCTGTGAGGGAGAGGGGATGATTTTTCTAACTTGCCTCCACCCTTCCCGGTGACATGGGAGGCAGACACCAAGTTCTGGGGTCTCCAGCTGCAGTGGCTGACCACTGATTGCTTCTCTCTGTCCAGAACAATGAGAACAAAAGCGCACTGCATTGGAGCAGCAAGTAAAGCAGCTGCAGGAGAAGCTGAGCGAGGTGAAGGAGACGGTAACCTCTGCCCCATCCAAGAAGGGCTGGGAGGTGGGCAGCAGCCTCTGGGGAGGGGAGGTGCCAGGCCAAAGGCAGCTCCAGCTGGGGGGCAGGTGATGGCAGCACCCTCCAGGGCAGCTCCATGACTGTTTCTTGCTTCCTGCCCTCTGATTTTAGAGGTGGGTAGCCTTGGGCTCCTCCCAGGTCTGGACATCATCTTCCCAGCTAGAGGCATAGATTACCCCAACCATAGGGGAAGAGACAGCTGAACAAGAGTCTCCTTATGCCAGGCACAGTGGCTCCTGCCTGTAATCCCAGCACTTTGGGAGGCTGAGGCAGGAGAATCACTTGAGGTCAAGAGTTTGAGACCAACCTGGCCAAAATTGCAAAACCTCATCTCTACTAAAATAACAACAACAACAAATTAGCCAGGCATGGTGGCGCATGCTTGTAATCTCAGCTACTCAGGAGGCTGAGGCACGAGAATCGCTTGAGCCTGGGAGGTGGAGGTTGCAGTGAGCCGAGATTGCACCACTGCACTCCAGCCTGGGCCACAAGGTGACATTCTGTCTCCAAATAAAACAAAAAAGCCTCCTTAGATTCAAACTGGATTCCAACCTCGATTCCACTGGTCACCATTCAACTACTTTTCATCTCTGTTTCTTTAGCTTCAAAAGGAAGTTAGCATTTTTCTTATGGAGGTGCTGGGGATTAAATGAGAGAACACATGGAAAGCATTAGGCTTGTAGCACACTTAGCAGATGGTGGTTGGCTCCCTCTGCTTTTCCACCAGTCTGTGGCCTACAGTTTAAATAGTGGGAAGAAGGACATGAGATTTGAGGCTGGGGAAGGAAACATGTGGCAAGGGAGGAAGTCTCTTAGGCCTGGAGAAAGGGGCCAGGGGCCTGGGCAGGTAACAGAGTCCCACTGTGCCCTCGCTACCCTATTAATGGGCCCAGAATCTGGAAGCCAGCCACCACATGCCCTCATGTCCAGGCTCTTCCTGCAGGTGGAGCTGAAGAGCCAAGAATCTCACAATCTGCAGCAGCAGTGAGACTAGTACCGGGGTCACCTGCAGCAGTACGCGGCCACCTATTAGCAGCTGACCTCTGAGAAGGAGGCGCCGCACAGGCAGTTACTGCTGCAGACCCAGCTTGTGGACCAGCTGCAGCAGCAGGAAGCTCAGGGCAAAGCGGTGGCTGAGATGGCCTGCCAAAAGTTGGAGGAGACCTAGGAGAGGGAGTTGCTGAGGACAGGGCCCTGAGGGGATGACCTGGCGACCTCTGTGCCTTCTCACTCTGTTTTCCATCCCCTTAGGAGTGCCTAGAAGCTGCCGGCCAGCAGAACCAACAGCTGGAGGCCCAGCTGAGTCTCATGGCTCTCCCTGGACAAGGTACAGGGGACCACTCAGAGGAAGAGGAGAGAGCCCCAGGAGGAAGGGGGGACTGTTAGCAGCATAGGATTGAGGGGTTGGAAGAGACCTTTAGAACAGCTGGTTGTTATGCCAACCGGGTGTCTGCACTAAGTTCGGCATCAATATAATGACCTCCTGGGAGCAGGGGGCCGCCAGGTTGCCTAAGGATGAGTGAACTGGCCCAGATCAGAAAGGGAGCAGGTCAGAACTCCCGCACCAACTGCTAGTGTGACTGTGCCTGGGCAATATAGAAGATCTTGGTTCTTAAAAGGAAAACTAAAGAACAGCAGCTCATTCCCCTCTGGGGAGGGGCTGGCTCAGGGTTACACAGTGAGGGTGGGGACAGAGGTGGGCCCACAGTACGTCCCTTGTTGGGTTTTCTGAGGACCCCTCTGGCCACCTCCCTGCAGAAGATGGAGGAGGACATCTGGACACTGAGGAGGAGGGGGTGCCTCGGCCTATGCCGAGTGTCCCAGAGGGCCTGGAGAGCCAGGAGGCCACAATGAGTCTGACTGTCCCTGCCCCGCTTTGCCACCTTCCTCTGTGGCCCCTCCCAGACCCCCTTATGCTCTTGGTTTCCCCGCCTTCTGATTTCTCTGGACCTTCACCCCTTCCGGGAGCCAGTGGTCAGACACCACTTCACCTGTGACCAACAGGTGCACTCTCTGAGGCCCCAAGGGAAGGGGCTGTGCTCCACCTCCCTGCCCCATTTGTTCTGTGTACGCCCTACAAGAATACTCAGCTCTTGCCTTCATGTGGCATTTTCAACTCCGCTGGAGCCAGTGCCCAGGAGGAGCAGGCACGGCTATGTGGGCAATGGAAGGTGCAAAGGCTGTGCGGCCTGCACCTGGCTCACCTGGTGGCCTCGGCCTGGAAGGAGCCAGAGGCAGAGGCCCGAGCCCTAGGGACTGGGGGTGAGTTTGTGTGTGGGGAGAGCTGCCGGGCCCTGTAGGAAGCCATGGAGAAGGTGAAGGTGAGTGAGTCCTGGCATGGGCCATGAAAAGTGGGGGCAGGGCAGGAGAGGTCACTCCCAAGATATGACCCTATTATTTTGGCTGCAGAGCGGCTTTATGGACCTCCCAAAGGAGAAGGTGGATGGGAAGGAGCAGGTGGAGAATCTAGAGCTTGGATTCATCCAGCTCTCTGGAGCAACAGACGGCATGAGTGAGCGGGAGGCCACAGCATGGGCACGGGCAGCTGCAGGGCCATTGTAGGGGCCCCAGCGTCTGAGCCCTGTTCTCTTGCAGGAGAGTACTTCACCATATATGGGAGCCAAGGGGCAGTCCCAAACACGCGGCACCAGGAGGAGGAGGACGTCAGCAGTCTGGCCCAGAATGAGGAGGAGATGAACGTAGGGCACGAAACATTTCTGCAAGGGTGGGGGTGGGTATGAGCACAGGCTCTAATGTGGTAGCTGAGCACTCCTCCCTTCAGGTGAAGCTGCTGGAGCTGCAGGAGCTGGTGTTGCCGCTTGTGGGTGACCACGAGGGGCATGACAAATTCCTCCCCACTGCCCAGAACCCTGCTGATGAGCCCGCTCCAGGGGCCACAGCCCCCCAGGAACTTGGGGCTGCCCATGAGCAGGGTGGTGAGTAGAGCCCTCAGGCGGGGTGGACAGGCAGGGGCAGGGGAGGCTAGCACTGTGCTCAGACCCCCGCCTCCCTCTCTCCGAAGATTTTTATGAGGTGAGCCTGGCCAACAGCATGGAGCCTGCACCAGGAGAGGCCAGGGAGGGTTCTCCCCATGACAACCCCACTGCACAGAAGATTGTACAGCTGCTTCCTGTAATGCAGGACACCCAGGAGCACCCAGGCTTTGCCAGCAAACCCTGCGTGCCATTCTTTTACCGGGCAGCTGAGAACAGAGAGATAAAAATCATCATCATCTAAGAGCTGGTCAAGAAATTAAAA